TATCTATATATATATATATATATATATATATCACCGTGCTTATAACAAATATGGTGTCAGTTTGTTTACATTGCGCAGATCAGTACAAAAATTTCAGGGATTACGCAGATCAGTGTTGCTAACATTGTATGAAAATTTTGTGTGAATTGATTGGACGGTTTTAGAAATATTAGAAAAAGTTATCTCGATAATAATTTGGCACGCAGTGTGTGTGTGTGTATATATATATATATATATATATATATATATATATATATATATATATATATATATATATATGATAATTTTTGTTTTAATTCTGACCTTATATATATATATATATATATATATATATATATATATATATATATATATACTCACTTTGCGTCGTCTCAAAAAAGGATCTCCAATCGATTGAACTGGGGCATGAATTGGCTGGTCAACTTCAACGCTCAAGACAAAAACTGCTCTCTATTAATCACCACAGAGAGCCTTCCCTTCCCTCCATTAGAATGTCTGACGCTCAACTTCTCGAGAGCAACTCTCTGCAGCTTCTCGGTCTTACGTTGACTGCTGACCTGAGATGGAATAAATACATCGAGTCAATTGCCTCGTCCACTGCGAGGAAAGTTGGCTCCCTGAGCCACGCTAGGAAGTTTTTCTCCCCTGAGTCAATCCTCCAGATATACAAATCCAAAATTTGCCCTTGCATGGAGTATTGCTGCCATATATGGTCTGGTGCCCCTTCTGTTTGCCTCGGGGTTCTTGATAGGCTCCAGAGGCGGATATGCAATATGGTTGGCCCTACCCTGGTGTCTCGTGTACAGTCACTTTCTCACAGACGCGCCGTTGCCTCTCTCTGTCTGTTCTACAAATACTTTCATGGAAATTGCTCCGAGGAGCTGCATTAAAGCTGGTTCCCAGACGTCATGAGTTCCAGCGCCCTACTGAGGCTGGCATCCCGCTCCACCCATTCACTGTCGAAACTCCTAAATGTAGCCGTCTCTTCTACTCTAATAGCTTCATGTCTCGCACCTCTCACCTGTGGAACTCCCTTCCCTTCTCCTGTTTCCCTGTGAGCTATAATCTCCAGCTATTCAAGTGTAATGTCAATCGACATCTCCAGTTGCCTTAATCTATCCACTACCCTCATCCTTTCTTCTATCACTCCTATCTGATCTTGCTATTTTCTGTAACCCCTTGCATCCTAGTGGCTTCCCACCTTGCTTGGGGTGAAATGCTTAAAAATATATATATATATATATATATATATATATATAAAGAGAGAGATGGAGTATAGTGATTGCTAGTGGCAATAAAATGGTGCTCAATGTAAAATAACAGAGCTAAAATTTATGCTAGTAATAAATATATATTTGTTCCTTACTGTTACATAATTTTCAGACCCAATTTGAAAACTGACCATTGTAAAATTTCAATATTTATAACCTACTGTTAAGATAGTGAAGCAGTCCATTTGTTGAAGATGACCTAGTGGTAGTCATCTACTAAAACTGTTATGTGAAATGGCTACTACAAAGCACAAAAGACAATAATTAAAAGATTTAGCATAGGAAAGACAAAAATTAATTCCTTTAAATCTGAGGTTCCCAACTGTAATATTTAATTCTTACATGTATGCCAATTACACATGTACGTACATACATTTTTTTTTTAAGCATTGTGCCCCAAGCAAGGCGTGAAGCCACTAGGATGCAGGGGGGTTTGGAGCGAGAGCAGATAAGAGTGATAGGAGAAAGGAAGAGGAGAAGGATAATGGGTAGATCAAGGTAACTGGAGATGTCGATTGACATTACATTTGAATAGTTGGAGATTATAGCTTTCGGGGAAACAGTAATTGGGGAGGGTGTTCCACTGGCGAGAGGTGCGAGGTATGAAGCTATTGGAGTAGAAGAGACGGCTACATTTGAAGGTTTCTACGGTGTAAGGGTGAGAGCGTGATGCCAGCCTCCTCAGAGGGCGCTTGAATTCATGGAGTCTGGGAACCAGAGAGAGCAGCTCATCAGAGCAGTTACCATGGAAGTATTTGTAGAAAAGACAGAGAGAGGCTACGCGCGTCTGTGAGAGAGTGACTGTAAGCAAGACGCTAGATCTGGGCCAATTAGATTACATATCCTTCTCTGGATCTTGTCGAGAACTCCGAGGTAAGCAGAAGGTGCCCAGCCCATATATGGCAGCAATACTCCATGCAAGGGCGAATGGTTGTTTTATATATTTGAAGTATCGAGTCAGGGGAGAAAAATTTCCTGGTTCGCACAGAGAGCCAACTTTTACTCAAGGGTGGAAGAAGCAATTGACTCAATGTATTTGTTCCATCTCAGGTCAGCAGTCAGCGTGAGACCGAGCAGACGAGGGAGTTGCTCTCAGGAAGTTGACTATCAGACATTTTAATGGGGGGCAGGGAAGGATCTCTATGGTGGTTAATGGAGAGTAATTTAGTTTTAGTGGTGTTAAAGTTGACCAGCCAATTCTTGCCCCAGTTAACAACTGATTGGAGGTCCATTTCAAGACGCACAATGTATACATACTGTATGTGCATCATATGTATTAACATGCATTATATGGATATGACCTAAAACTAATGAACTACAAATATACAAAAAAAAAAAAAAAAGTTAAAATATATTGAAATAGAATAAATAAATAAATAAATAACAATAAACTCAAGGTCAGGATTATAAATAATCTAAAAACATCATCAAAACAAAGAAACTTGGAAAACCAGTTCTCTATTCCCATCAGCCTCTATTGCACACACACACACACACACACACACACACACACACAAGGAAGACTTATCTTAGCTGACACTTTTCATGCTATGAAAGCAACTGTAAGGATTTTATTTTGCATTTAGTATTTATAAACATAAAAATATCATTAGCTTTACAAAGTTTTTAAATTTAAGAGATGCCCATAAATATTCATCAGGCTAACTGAAAAATTTAGATAAGTTATGGAAGATGCTAAGTGACATAAATGATGGTTAATTCTAACCTCCAGGAGAGTAACTCCTTCTCGGGTTAGCAATTTCTGCTGACATGAAATGGAAATATTATATTGAATCAATTGCTAGGTCTGCTGCTAGGAAAGTTGGTTCACTGTCTCATGACAATTTTTCTCTCCTGAATCTACCTTACATATTTATAAATCTGTCATTTGTCCTTGCTTTGAATATTGGTCTGCTGCTCCGCTATTGTTTAGAAATTCTTGATAAAATCTAAAGAACCTGCAATGTTATTGGTCCTGACCTGGCATCTTGGCATCAGTCACTTTCCTACTACTGCTTTCTTGTGTCTTTTCTATAAATACTTTCTTAGTAATTGTTCTGTTGAACTTTCCTCTATGGTACTTAGACTTTATGAATCCAAGTGCAGTACTAGATTGGCAGCTAGGTCTCATCATCTTACAATTGAAATGGCTAAATGTAACCGTAAGTTCTATGCTAATAGTTTCTTCTCTCACATTTTTAATTTGTAGAACTCTCTTCCAGTTTTTTGCTTTCCAGCCAACTTTGCATTTAAAGACCAATGTCAATCATTATCTACTGTCTTTGCAATTCCTCTTCTTTTATTGTTTTCACTCCTTAATAATCTTTTTCTTTTTCTTATTCTTTCACACTAAGTAAACCTTTGTGTCTTAGTGGCTTTATTGCCTTGCTTGGGATGAAATGGTAAAAAAACATGAATAAATAAAAAAAAAAAAGAGAAAAAGACACCCTTCATAAGAGATTGGCAAAAACAATTATTTTTTATTTCTTTTATTTTTTTATTTTTTATTTTTTTAAATATGAACAACAAAATCAAGTCATTACCCAGCATTTGGTTGACAATCTTGTGTGCTCTGGTGACTATCAGGAAAATTGATTTGATATTTTGCATATGGTACAGTCTCAATACTTGCCCAAGATTGTGGAAGCAATTAGAATCAAACTCAGAAAACCCACCCTTTTCAGACTAAAAAAGAGTTTTGTCCATACTGTTCTTCCTTTAGGAGAACACTAATAATTTTTCCTCTCTCCTGCTCCCTTTTTGGTGACTCTTCAGGTTTATTTGTCAGTTTTATTCATTTTTAATTTTACAAATTAAATTGATTTTCTAAATTTGATCAAGGTGATTTTATATTTTAGTCCCTAAAAGTGTATTTTGTTGTTGTTTTTGAAAAAAAGTAATTGACAAAGGGTTGGCCAAAGCTTCCTTAAATATTGTTCCCTTTTTTTTAGTATTAAGATTCTTACATTAGTGCTATTTAAGACTATAATAAAATTTTGTAATATCAAGTCATTGTTTTTTATATATATATATATATATATATAATGTATGAAGAAATATAGTTTTAAAGTGTGCTATATTTATGGGATAAAGTGCTCAATATCAGATATAGAGCATATGTAAACATAAAATTGAACATTGAAGTCAACACTCGGACGCAACAGGCTGTTTCAATTGTGAGGCCACAATCACCACCCTGATGATTGTGTATAGCGTTTACTTATCTGTTCCTATTAGTAAATAAAAATTCAGAGTTCAGGCGGAGATGTTAGAAGTACAGAGTTGAAGTAGACTTTAGAACGAACCAAAAACCCAATCCTAAATAGGAAACAAGGGATTTGGTAATTTTACTATAAAAACGTATTTTTATTTATTTATTTTATTTTTTTTTTGGTGTTGCATTGATTGTTATTTTAATATAAAAATCTATTGTTGCTTATTTTATTATAAAAATGTTCTGTTAATTTTTGTTTGGGAGGTTTACTATCTGCCCATAGCTGGGACCCTAACAGGTGCTACCACCCTGGGTCCTGAGTGGACATGGGAACAACTGCAATTAAGAGGTCATTCCACACTCTTTAAAATCTCCAATTTTTATTTTTCATACAATGAAATTTGATTTCAGGGAAAATGCATTAGGTAGAGATGATCCATACACCTCATTTTCTATAAAGGGCAATAGAAAACCCATCCAAATAAGGTATTTTTATTTTTTTTTTTATATTTCAGGGACTGGCTGTTCCTTCGTTTACCTCTCTGTGACGATGGGTTTATGTTCATACTTCAAACTCAAGGGCCGTTTGCTGATGCCCCTTGTGACTATGGGTGAAGCTGCTGGAACAATCATTTTCCCACCTTTGACCTCTTATCTTATTGAGATTTACTTTTGGCGTGGGAGTTTACTCTTGATGTCTGGGGTGATGCTGCAGTCGACGGTCTGTGCCATGATGTACTCTGTGAAAAATTTGCATCACCAGGAAATCAAGAGCAGTCACAAGAAACAAACAAAAGATAAATATCCATGTTTAATTGATGGTAAAAATGACACAAATTTGTGCAAGACTCTATCAAATTCCAGCCTACCAACACAAACCACAAATGTACCTCCTGATCTTGATTCACCTCCTCAAGAACAGTCTGAAAACCTTCTTGCAGAAGAACTTAATGTGTCTACATTTATGAATCCAAATTTCAAGAACAGTAACAAAAACAAAGAAAATTCTAAAAATTCTGTTGACGATTCTTTTTGCAAGGAATCTAAGGAGTTAGAAGCACAAGATGTTATCATTGAAAATAATCCCCGTGAAAATAGTTTTTTGGATCCAGTGTCGAACTCCGAACCAAAAACAAATGCAGACTTAGATAGCAGTTTTAAAACTGGAGTTTCAAAAGTCCGACAAAGGGACACTTTCTTATCAATTGTAAAAAACAAACAATATGTGCTGTTCTTAATGTCTGTATTTGTCATAGCTGGTTGTATCAATACAACTCTAACAGTTTTACCAGATTTTTGTGTCTATCAGGGTCTGACACTTTCTGAAAGTGCCAATATTTATGCAATTGGAGCCTCTGGCGATGCCCTCTCAAGGATCATAGGTGGTTGGCTTCTCTTCAGGAACCAATTCTCCAGCCTGGTTATCTTCACTGTTTCTGGAATTGTCTCTGGTCTCCTGACAGCCATTTATCCACTTCTGTCATCTTTCTACCTCATCAGCATATTGAGCTTTTTCGTGATGTTTCATTCCGGTCTGCTTTTTTCAGTGTATAGTGTTGTAATCATGGATTTCTTTGATATTAATCACTATGCCATTGCAATTGGCCTTTCGGAAACAGTGGCTGGATGTGGAGTTGTAACCATTGGATACATTATTGGTAAGTGCCTATTTTTATATATATATATATATATATATATATATATATTTTTTTTTATGAAAGCAAACAAAAATTATTAGGAAAATTGTTACCAAATTTTTTTAAAACTTGTATCACCCCATGCAGAGCAGTAAAGCCACTAAGACACAAGAGGTTACTGGGTGTGGAAGAATTAGGAACAGAAAAATTAATAATGAATGGGAAGAGGAAAGAGTAATCAGGAGCACAGTAGATAGTGATTGACACTGCATTTAAATATTTGCAGATTAAAGGTGGCTGGAAAGAATGGAGGTGGAAGGGAGTTCTACAAGTAAGCAGTGTGAGAACAGAAACTGTTAGCATAGAATTTATGCTGACATCTAGCCACATCAGCTGTAAATTGATGAAACCTTGCTGCCAATCTAGGGCTGCACTTCATGAAATTAAGTCTAGGTACCATAGCAAAACTAGTACAAACAATGACCATGATTGTATTTATAGAAAATTGAGTGAAGCCGAGTCACCGGATCAGAACCAATAATATTGCTGATTCTTCTTTGGATCTTATTAAGGAGCTCAAGGTAAATAGCAGGAGCACCAGACCATATGTGGCAGCAATATTCTAAGCATGGATGAATGGTAGGTTTATAGATCAGGACCAATAATATTACTGATTCTTCTTTGGATCTTATCAAGGAGCTCAAGGTAAATAGCAGGAGCACCGGACCATATGTGGCAGCAATATTCTAAGCAAGGATGAATGGTAGGTTTATAGATCAGGACCAATAATATTGCTGATTCTTCTTTGGATCTTATCAATGAGCTCAAGGTAAAAAGCAGAAGCACCAGACCATATGTGGCAGCAATATTCTAAGCAAGGTTTATAGATCAGGACCAATAATATTGCTGATTCTTCTTTGGATCTTATTAAGGAGCTCAAGGTAAATAGCAGGAGCACCGGACCATATGTGGCAGCAATATTCTAAGCATGGATGAATGGTAGGTTTATAGATCAGGACCAATAATATTACTGATTCTTCTTTGGATCTTATCAAGGAGATCACGGTAAATAGCAGGAGCACCGGACCATATGTGGCAGCAATATTCTAAGCATGGATGAATGGTAGGTTTATAGATCAGGACCAATAATATTACTGATTCTTCTTTGGATCTTATTAAGGAGCTCAAGTTTATTAGCAGGAGCACCGAACCATATGTGGCAGCAATATTCTAAGCATGGATGAATGGTAGGTTTATAGATCAGGACCAATAATATTACTGATTCTTCTTTGGATCTTATTAAGGAGCTCAAGGTTATTAGCAGGAGCACCGGACCATATGTGTCAGCAATATTCTAAGCGTGGATGAATGGTAGGTTTATAGATCAGGACCAATAATATTACTGATTCTTCTTTGGATCTTATCAAGGAGATCACGGTAAATAGCAGGAGCACCGGACCATATGTGGCAGCAATATTCTAAGCATGGATGAATGGTAGGTTTATAGATCAGGACCAATAATATTACTGATTCTTCTTTGGATCTTATCAAGGAGATCAGGTAAATAGCAGGAGCACCGGACCATATGTGGCAGCAATATTCTAAGCATGGATGAATGGTAGGTTTATAGATCAGGACCAATAATATTACTGATTCTTCTTGGATCTTATCAAGGAGATCACGGTAAATAGCAGGAGCACCGGACCATATGTGGCAGCAATATTCTAAGCATGGATGAATGGTAGGTTTATAGATCAGGACCAATAATATTACTGATTCTTCTTTGGATCTTATCAAGGAGATCACGGTAAATAGCAGGAGCACCGGACCATATGTGGCAGCAATATTCTAAGCATGGATGAATGGTAGGTTTATAGATCAGGACCAATAATATTACTGATTCTTCTTGGATCTTATCAAGGAGATCAAGGTAAATAGCAGGAGCACCGGACCATATGTGGCAGCAATATTCTAAGCATGGATGAATGGTAGGTTTATAGATCAGGACCAATAATATTACTGATTCTTCTTTGGATCTTATCAAGGAGATCACGGTAAATAGCAGGAGCACCGAACCATATGTGGCAGCAATATTCTAAGCATGGATGAATGGTAGGTTTATAGATCAGGACCAATAATATTGCTGATTCTTCTTTGGATCTTATCAATGAGCTCAAGGTAAAAAGCAGAAGCACCAGACCATATGTGGCAGCAATATTCTAAGCAAGGTTTATAGATCAGGACCAATAATATTGCTGATTCTTCTTTGGATCTTATCAATGAGCTAAAGGTAAAAAGCAGAAGCACCAGACCATATGTGTCAGCAATATTCTAAGCGTGGATGAATGGTAGGTTTATAGATCAGGACCAATAATATTACTGATTCTTCTTTGGATCTTATTAAGGAGCTCAAGTTTATTAGCAGGAGCACCGGACCATATGTGGCAGCAATATTCTAAGCATGGATGAATGGTAGGTTTATAGATCAGGACCAATAATATTACTGATTCTTCTTTGGATCTTATTAAGGAGCTCAAGTTTATTAGCAGGAGCACCGGACCATATGTGGCAGCAATATTCTAAGCATGGATGAATGGTAGGTTTATAGATCAGGACCAATAATATTGATTCTTCTTTTTGATCTTATTAAGGAGCTCAAGGTTATTAGCAGGAGCACCGGACATATGTGTCAGCAATATTCTAAGCGTGGATGAATGGTAGGTTTATAGATCAGGACCAATAATATTACTGATTCTTCTTTGGATCTTATCAAGGAGATCACGGTAAATAGCAGGAGCACCGACCATATGTAGGCAATATTCTATATGGATGAATGGTAGGTTTATAGATCAGGACCAATAATATTACTGATTCTTCTTTGGATCTTATCAAGGAGATCAAAATAGGAGCCATACCATAAGGTGGCAAATTCTAGCATGGATGAATGGACCATAGATCAGGACCAATAATATTGTTGATTCTTCTTCTAATGAGCTCAAGGTAAAAAGCAGAAGGATGAATGGCAAGGTTTATAGATCAGGACCAATAATATTGCTGATTCTTCTTTGGATCTTATCAATGTGCTCAAGGTAAAAAGCAGAAGCACTGGACCATATGTAATCAAGGATATTCTAAGCATGGATGAATGGTAGGTTTATAGATCAGGACCAATAATATTACTGATTCTTCTTTGGATCTTATCATGGAGATCACGGTAAATAGCAGGGAGCACCGGACCATATGTGGCAAATATTCTAAGCATGGATGAATGGTAGGTTTATAGATCAGGACCAATAATATTACTGATTCTTCTTTGGATCTTATCAAGGAGATCAAGGTAAATAGCAGGAGCACCGGACCATATGTGGCAGCAATATTCTAAGCATGGATGAATGGTAGGTTTATAGATCAGGACCAATAATATTGATTCTTCTTTGGATCTTATCAAGGATCAAAGGTTAAATAGCAGGAGCACCGGACCATATGTGGCAGCAATATTCTAAGCATGGATGAATGGTAGGTTTATAGATCAGGACCAATAATATTGCTGATTCTTCTTTGGATCTTATCAATGAGCTCAAGGTAAAAAGCAGGAGCACCAGACCATATGTGGCAGCAATATTCTAAGCATGATGAATGGTTTATAGATCAGGACCAATAATATTACTGATTCTTTTGATCTTATCAAGGATCTTATCAAGGATCACCGGACCATATGTGGCAGCAAAATGGATGAATGGAGGTTTATAGATCAGGACCAATATATTGTGATTCTTCTTTGGATCTTATCAATATTCTATTCTAGCATGGATGAATGGTTGGTTTATAGATCAGGACCAATAATGAATGTTGATTTATAGATTCTTTGGATCTTATTCTTCTTTGATGCTCAAGGTAAATAGCAGGGGCACTGGACCATATGTGGCAGCAATATTCTAAGCATGGTAAACTTATAGATGTGTAAGATAGTTTCTGGAGAGAAAAATTGTCTAGCACAACACAGTGAACCAACTTTCCTAGCAGCTGACCTTGCAATGGAATTACTTTTATCTGATCTGCCTTTGAACTTCAGTAATATTTCAGTAAGTATGTTTTAACAGTTTTGACAGGGAATTGCAAGCTCAGTCCACTAATTTTGCTATTTTCACTCATGACTAGAGAGGAATACTTTCTCATTTTGGCTAACGTGCATCATCACATACAAAAACGAGGCCTCAGATTGCATGCAGACATGTTTGTCAACACCAGTTACATTGGGGTTTTTCCTGTTAGCAGTGGGACAGTTGGGCATGTCTAGAACGGGCCTCAATGCAACTGATCAATATCTGGGTCTTTTTTAAGATGCCTCATGCCAATAAAACATGGGGAAACCCAGCAGTTGGCAGTTAGCAAGGCATAGTGTCTTGTGACGTCAGTTTCATGAGAATTTTTGTTCCTCAAGTTGCTGTGGTTTCCAAAGCAGTATTATTTTTGTTACCCCACCTGTTCTCTTTCTCCTCTTATTTCTGCTTTAACTTGTGTATTTCTTTCTTTTCTTTTTATGGAAATTTTTCTTATATCATTCTAATTTTTTTAAAATATAAAAAGAGGTGATGTTTCATAAGTAGCATTTTTTAAAAAATCGTTTTTAACTATCTTTGGTCACCACCTGATGAGATGCCTGAATTGGGCAGCAAAACAAATATGCATCATTGCAGCTGTAACATATAACGTTATATATATAACTGAATAATTCATTGATTTATTGTCTAACAGATTTTTATTATTCAAGGTAAGATACTGAATCTATTAATAGATATCACATTTATTTTAAATAAATACATAAAAAATTATTGACGTTAACAAACTTTGTTCCCTCCTAAAAACATGTAATCTGAAATTGTTCAATTATGTGTTTGGTCTTTGTTGTGAAACACTGTCAACTTTTTATTTGACTATTCATTATAAATGGTCAATTTTTTTAATATTGATCACTTTATTTTCAAAAATCTACTCACTTTATTATTATTACTAATAGAATA